AAGATTTATTTATTTATTTATTTATTTGAGAAAATGGGAACACAAGCAGGGAGGAGGGGCAGAGGGAGAGGGAGAAACAGACTCCCTGCTGATCAGGGAGCCTGATGTGGGGCTTGATCCCAGGACCCTGGGATCATGACCTGAGCCAAAGGCAGATGCTTAACCCATTAAGCCGCCCAGGTGCCCCTTTTCCTTCATTTTTTTTTATTTTTTAAAGAGTTTTCTTTTTTATTGATGTGTAATTAACATAGTGTTATATTAATTTCAGATGTACAATATAATAATTCAATAATTCTTACATTGCTCAGTGAGCATTATGATAAGTGTACTCTCAACCCCTTTATCTATTTCACCCATCCCCCCACCCACCTGCCCTCTGGCAACCATCAGTTTGTTCTCTATATTTGAGTCTGTTTTTTTGTTTGTCTCTTCTTTGTTTGCTTTGTTTCTTAAATTCTGTGTGTGAGTGAAATCATATAGTATTTGTCTTTCTCTGTCTGACTTATTTCACTTAGCATTATACCTTCTAGATCCATCCGTTGTTGCAAATGGCAAGATTTCATTCTCTTTTATGGCTGAGTAATATTCCATTGTATATTAGTATGTCACATCTTCTTTATCCATCTACCTATTGATGGACACTTAGGTTATTTCTGTATCTTGGTTATTGTAAATAATGCTTCAGTAAACATAGGCGTGCATATATCTGTTCAAATTAGTGTTTTTGTTTTCTTTGGGTAAATACCTAGTAGTGGAATTACTGGACCATATGGTAGTTCTATTTTTAATTTTTTGAGAAATCTTTATACTGTTTTCCACAGGGGCTGCACCAAATTGCATTCCCACCAACAGTGTACAGGAGTTCCATTTTCTCCACATCCTCACCAACACTTGTTATTTCTTGTCTTTTTGATTCTGCCCATCCTGAAAATGTTAAGGTGATAACTCATTGTGGTTTTGATCTGCATTTCCCTGATGATGAGTGATGTTGAGCATCTTTTCATCTGCTAGACATTTGTATGTCTTCTTTGGAAAAATGTCTATTCAGGTCTCAGACCACTTTTAATCAGATTATTCGGGGTTTTTTGGTGTTCACTTGTATGTGTTCTCTATATATTCTGGTTATTAATCCTTTATTGGATATATCATTTGCAAATGTCTTCTCCCATTTAGTAGGCTGCCTTGTTTTGTCTTGATGGTTTCCTTTGCTGTGTGAAAGCTTTTTATTTTGGTATAGTCCCTCCCAATAGTTTATTTTTGCTTTTGCTTCCCTTGCCTAAGGAGACATATCTAGAAAAATGTTTCTATGGTTGATGCCAAAGAAATTATTGTCTGTGTTTTCTTCAAGGAGTTTATGGTTTCAGGCCTCACATTTAGGTCTTTAATCCATTTTGAGTTTATTTTTGTGTAAGGTGTAAGAAAGTGGTCCAGCTTCATTCTTTTGCATGTAGCTGTCCAGTTTTCCCAGCACCATTCAATCAATAGACTACCTTTTCCTCATTGTATGTTCTTACCTCCTTTATTGTAGGTTAATTGGCCATATAAACGTGGTTTATTTCCGGGCTCTCTATTCTCTTGACCTATGTGTCTATTTTTGTGCCAATAGAATACTGTTTTGATTACTAAGAGTTTTAGTAATATACTGACTCATATAATTCTTACCACAGCATTATTACGTGGATACCTTTGTTATCCCATTTACCGATGAGCAAGCTATACCACAGAGAGATTAATAATGTGCCTGAGATCACAGTGCTAATAAGTGGCAGAACTGGGATTTGACTTCAGATAGTCTTGCTTAGAACCCGTGTGCTAAACTAGGATGTCATACTGCCTTTCACACTCGCTGATAGCACTTTTCTGAGCTTCCAGACAGGCAAGGCAAGACTCTTCAGTACTTCTCCCAAGTGATAAAATCTTGAGAAAATGATTGGATAGATTGCAATATGAGTAACATTATGTAACATGATAAAGACTGATTAATTTCTATTTTGCACAGATCCAAATGTGTTCTTCAAGGGGTGCCTGGGTGGCCCAATCGTTAAGCATCTGCCTTCGGCTCAGGTCATGGTTCCAGGGTCCTGGGATCGAGCCCCGCATCGGGCTCCATGCTTGGCGGGAAGCCTGCTTCTCCCTCTCCCACTCCCCCTGCTTGTATTCCCTCTCTCGGTCTGTCAAATAAATAAATAAAATCTTTAAAAAAAATGTGTTCTTCAAAAATAGTATTTTTCACATCAACCCTCAATAAAAAGGGTTTACTTTTTTTAAAGATTTATTTTAGAGAGAGAGAGAGAGAGAGCATGCAAGCAGGGGGAGGGTCCTTTCTTTTTTTAAAGAGAAAATTCTTTTAGCACAATTCGCAGGAGTTGGAAGTAACAGGAAAAAATGATGGGGCCTGATGGTATTATTCACTTTGGCCCTCTGAGTACCTATGTTTTGAACATTTGAAGTCTTCTCAGTGGGCTACTCTTGAGAAATTATGATGGTCAGATAATGAAGCTTATATTTAAATAATTAGAAAAATGGCCCCAAATGAAAATCGTTTTAGAAATTTTTATGTTAAGGATTAAGTTTGAGGTTCACTTACGGATGAGGAATGCTTTGGAGACTTGGTGGCTGTTGTTTGTTCTCAGAGTTTGGTGAATGATGCGGATTCAACAGGCTGACTTCCATCTTCCCATTTTCAGTACAAAGTTGATGCTCTGATCTCTGCAGGATATTGGCATTTCCTGAGGTAGTAAATAATTGTAAATTCAACGACTGTCACTTCTGTGATTACTTCCTGCTGTTGTTAAATTTCAGCTGCCGAAGAAAACCCGCCAAGGAAGATCAAGAGCGCCCCTAGGGCTGGGGCCTGATGGTCTCGAAGAAGGCAGGAAACGGGCGAAGCAGGAGCTAAAGGACTGTGACAAATGAGGGGCCTTTTAGACCTAAGGTGTAGAATTTCAGTCCAAGGGGAGTGACTGTCACTGGGGCTCCCAGGGTCTGGGAGAGTTTATAACCTGAGATTGGGGGTGGGGCAGGGGGGCAATCAAGTTGGTACTTGAGAGCTTGGTAGGTTGCAATTTAGTCAAGAAAATCCTCTACTTCAAAGTCTAGGGCAGAAAAAAAGCTTCCAGGGCACAAGGACTGTCTTCCTCTGCTGCAATTAAGTGTCTCTGCCATTTACCCAGTTTCTAGCACATTTATTTGTGGAAAAAATGAAAAGGCAGCAGGGAGGAGCCGGCGTGTGACTGGGAGTATGCTGAAGGCAGGACTGGAAGCAGGTGCACGGGACACGGGCCGCCGCAGGAGCTCAGGGACCTTGAGTGGCGCCTTGCTTGCATCACCCCCACCCTGGCCTTGCCAACACAGGCTGCAGCGGTGAATGTCACTGCAAACACCACGGGACACACTCACTTAGCTTCTGTTTAATTCTAGTCAAGATTTCGAACATTTATACATTTTTTTATACAAGTACATGCGAAGTTACAAATATAGAAAATATAAAGTACATGCATATTTCAAAGACCACGACAGATCATACAAAACTATTCAGTGCACATGTAAGCCTGAGGACCACGCAAAAGAGTTTTCTACATATTAAGTATTTAGTACCTTACAAAACCTGTTGTGCATTAGATATATCAGATGTTAACTCCTCTAACCAAAATTTCTAAGTCTGTCATACACAATATATATATATATAAGAACTTTTTTTTTTTTTTTTTTACATCAAATACCCGCACAGTGCAAGCCAGGAACATTGCAGAATGCTAATTTATCTGCTAGGTGACAATATTGAACAATCCAGACAATAATTTCACCTTACTTGAGTAACAGTTAACAGAATTCCTTTTTTCCACCCTGAATGGATATTTCTGTCATGTCCGACCTAATATATTTTTTTGGATGGCCTTCCATTCTTTGATTCAAAAACCGATTATAGAAACTAGGACTTGACATAATTCTGGTTTTTGACAATTATGAGACAGCAATGAAGAAATGCAATCATTTTTCTTTGTCTACTAATCATTTTCTCCATTATGCAATCCTCTAGGATGTTGGTTATTTTAACAGCTGCACCTTCCTCTGTGTCAAAATCATTCTGGTTTCCAGGTAATTGAACAAAGATTTGCTCTCGGTGCCCGGAAGGCAGTTCAATTTTTTACTGCCTTATCTATAGTTTAGATTATGAAAAAAAAGGAATGCCACATGTAGGTGCTTTACATGTCCCAAATGGGAGCTTGCCTCGAAGGGCGCCACTCCCAAGTATGGGATTTTTTTTAGCGTTTTCACACTGTTGGTTATGTTCATTCCCTGTGAAAACATCCTCTGCCGAGGTCTAGTGTTGCATGAATATTTACGCTAGATGCTATGGTTGCTGTGTAGCCCACACCGCAGAATGCAAACCATCGTCCCAGTTCTCTGCTCTCTGGTGGGCTTATCCTGGGTCCAAGAGCGAAGGATTTCTAGTTTTGCTTTTTGAATGAGTATCATGTGGCCTCCTTTCAAATTTGGCAGCAATGCTCTTTGCACAGGGAAATGCGATCAGGTTCTTTTAGAACAGATGAGAAAAATTTCCCCAAGTTGCTATGAAATCATGGTTAAGATGGGGCATTAGTGTACTGAGCTCTAGCTGGGGAAGGAGCCAGAGGTTTTCAGGCAAAGGTATTTGAAGACTGTTTTGAGAACTGTTTTAGCCTCAACCTGCTGCACTAGACAAAAAATAAAAATAGAAAAAAATAAGCCCTAGGTCAACTAATGATTATTTGCTGTTATTCCTAGCCCAGCACTAGCATGGGCCCCTGAAGGACTCAAATCACACGGGGGCTCGAATAAATAGCATCCTGGGTCTGCTCCACATTTTCCCAGGGCCATCGGGGCCAAGGGTATTAGCCTATGGGTGATAAAGAGAGAAGCAGGAATGAGACACCACCACTAAAGGGCTGTAGGTAGACACCCCCTCCCCCAACCTGTAAAAGATGAAGATGATGGAGAGGATGGGATGCTCATTCTCCTCATCCCACTATCAGGAGAATGAGCAGCGAGATGAGGAGGATCACGGGCGGGGGCGAGAAGAGGATGGCGCTCGCCCCTCTTTGGTAGTAAGCCTCGGACTCTCTCTGGTATTGGGTGACGCACATCTGCTCCACTACGCGCTCCATGATCTTCATGTCGGTCTCCGTGAAGTTCTCCCCCTTGGTGGTGGTGGTGACTGTGTGCTGCTTGACCGTGATGTTGACGCAGTCGTGCACGAAGTTGTTCTGGTTGCTGTACTGATCCACCGGCTTGTAGTACACTTGGTTGGGGTAGCGGTTCATGTTCTCACGATAGTAACGGTCCTCATAGTCGTTGCCGAAATGAATGAGGGGTCTGCTCATGGCACTCCCCAGCATGTAGCCCCCCAGGCCCCCCACTACCGCCCCGGCTGCTGCGGCTCCTGCCATGTGCTTCATGTTGGTTTTGGGCTTATTGGGCTTGCCCCACTGACCGTGGCTGCCACCACCTTGACCCCAGCCACCACCACCGTGGGGCTGTCCCCAGCCGCCCCCGTGGGGCTGACCCCAGCCGCCCCCGTGGGGCTGTCCCCAGCCGCCCCCGTGGGGCTGACCCCAGCCGCCACCGCCCTGGGGTGGGTAGCGGTTGCCTCCAGGACTGCCCTGCCCTGGGTATCGGCTCCCCCCGGTGTTCCAGCCTCCTCCAGGCTTCGGCCGCTTCTTGCAGAGGCCCACGTCACTCCATGTGGCCACAAAGAGAACCAGGATCCAGCTGCCGATGTGGCTTTTCACCATGATGACTTATCTGCAAAACGAGAAGGGTGTCAGTGTCCTGTGTTTGCTGCATAATGAATGAATGCACAGCAAGGGCATCTGCAGGTCGGTCACAAAGGCTCCCCACTCTTACTTCTCCTTTGCGGCACTTAAGACAGAAGTAATTTCAAATAAAGCATTAACACGACTCTTTCTCCTTCTCTAAGGACAAATTTGACCTTAAGATCATTTCTGGCTCTATTTCCTGGAAACTTGATAGAGATGGAATGTCAACAATGTTGCTTATGGTAAAAATAACTTGATTGATAAACTGCATCCCGGCTGGGTGAAACTAGAAACATCTGGTGGGCCTGCCATAGCTTTGAGCATCTTTAGGGCAGTGATTATTGTAACCAGGTATGTCCTTGTGGGGACTTTAGGGCAGTGATTATTGTAACCAGGTATGTCCTTGTGGGGACCCTGGCTCCTGTGGGGTCTGGAGCCTCTACACCAAAGGGAACCCTTTATCCACCAATATGGGTCTCACTCCCTTGTCCCCGAGCAGCCACTTGTGGGGGCTGGGAGTGGAGACAAGTCCCTGGCTGCTGTGTGGACTGCTATGAGGATCCTGTTGTATCCCCTTCTGGAACCTTCTGAGAACTTGGGGTGGCCCCTATGGAAGTCTTGGGAGTTAGGAAGCCCCCCAGTTGAGCTTTGCAGGAATTAACTTTGAAAATCGCTGGCTCATGTCTTCTTTTGTCTGTGGGAACGGGTGCTAGCAGGGAGGGTGTCTTGTCTGCTGCTCTCTCCTCAGGGGCCTGGGTGCTGCCTGGCAGGCACACAACAGTGACTTGTTCGGTAAAGGAATTAATGCCCTCTGAACAGATAAATGCCTGCAAGAATTTCCTCAAAGTACCTCTCAATACGGTATTTTTTGGAAACAGGAAACGTGCAGGATTTTACAAGCCCTCTTGTAAATTCATCTTCTATAAAAAGAGCCGCTCGAAGCGGGATAAAAATGCCTGTGTTCACAAGTCACTGAATGAGTTTTAGTTCAGCACTTAACGGCTTATGAGGGACTTATTTTCTCCTAACATTTGGTACCAAAGAAATACGTCTTACAGAAAAGGGCCGGCACAGTTCAGGAATCCACAACCAAACTAAGTTGCCCTGGATAATAATTTATGACCCTTTGCAGAATGTACACTCGTCAAACAAAAAAAAGTCTTTCAGGTGAAACACCTCCTTTACCCTGGATGCTCAGTTCGAAGGGCAGAGATCAAAGACACACAGACATTCAGAGGGAGGAGAATAATGAAATAAGTAAATGATTCACCTTCCATTTATGCTTCTATCCTTATTGAAAAATCTTGGTGGCCACAGGTAAATAAAAATATATTTGAAAGTTATGAAAGCAGGTTCAGCTACTCAGCTCATGCCAATCCATCAGGCTTTCTGGAGGCTCTTCTGGGTCGGGTCAGAAGGGCAGGGTCCTGAGATGTGCCGCCTGGCCTTACCCTCACCTCTCGAGCCCCTGGTACTGGTCTCCTGCGGGCCTCTCCCTGCTGTACTCCCCACGTGCTCACGGGCTCTAGCTCTCAGCCTCCTTGCTGCCCATGCCTTCACTCACACACCACAGGGAACCAGACTAGGGGAGCGCCACCCCAGTCAACAGCTCCCAATCTAATGGGGTTTCATGTCAACAACTACTTCATTCACCCCAACGAGCCAAACCCAGCCAACAGCCTGGAATTTTTTTTTTTTTAAGATTTTATTTATGTATTTATTTATTTAAAGTAAACTCCATGCCCAACGTGGGGCTCCAACTTACAACCCTGAGATCAAGAGTCGCATGCTCCACCGACTGAGCCAGCCAGGGCCCCCCCCGCAACCCCGACTCCAGACTTATTCTTGAATTTCCTCTTTTTCACAGCACACAATGAATCTACCAGCAAATGTTATCGGCTCTACCTTGAAAATAAATCCTAAATCCTGAAACTACTCACATTTCCCAACACTACTTACTATCCTGGGTGAAGCGTCTGTTGCTTCTCACGGGGGTCTTTCAACAGCCTCCAACCAGCCTCCCTGCTTTTCCCCAGCCCCCACTGCGTGTTCTCTACTCAGCAGCCCAGAGGCTCAGACAACCTTTTTTTTTTTTTTATGTAGGTCACACCATGCCTCTTCCCTACGCCCCCAAGCGGCACTCGTTCAAGCTCAGGGTAAGACCCCAAGTCCTGACCGTGCCGCACGTGACCTGCCTCCAGCTGCCCCTCTCTCTGGCCTCCTCCTGCTCCTCACACTTGATAAGCACTTTCCCATCGCAGGGCCTTTGCACTTGCTGCTCCTGGGGCCTGGAAGTCTCCCCTTCCGGTTACTCGTATGGCTCCAGTCTGTTCTGATGACACCCCCGTGGGGCTGCCCGGGCCGCTCTCCCGAAGTCAGCAGCCCGCATCCTATCCCCTTCTCCTGCTTTTCTCCAGAGTGGGGATGCCTACCTGACATCTATGATTTACTATTTACTTACTGTTCGCCTTCCCCGCGGGAGTGCGGGCTCCCCCAGGGTGGGAGTTTCGCTTTGTTCGGTAGTGGCCCTAGTGCCTAAATGGAGTGCCTGGCTCACAGCCCGACGCGATATATGCGGAATGAATGGATGAGTGTGGAAACATCCGTAATAAAGCATCATAACCAAACTAAAAATTAAACTGTTACAAAAGTGAACCATATGTATGAATTTTCAAAACCCTCTTCCCTGCACTGGCCCACTGTCCAACAGGTACAGTCCAGTTATAGGAACGTTGAGTTCATGTGCCACCTGCCACCAGCGAGGATTGCTGACACGGTCAGGGCGGGAGGGAGACACTGTTGCAAGGGGAGGAATGCGGAGGTTGGCTTTGAACATGCCTGGTCCGAGGCCGTAAGAGTCATAGCTCTGTAAGCTGTGGAGACATGTGAGCAGATGATCAGACCACCTAGGAAGGGAGGCATAGAGAGGGCCTCGTTCCTCAGGAAGCCGGACCACGAGGTGGAAGGGACCACAGGGCATTCGGAGTGAAGACAGGCAGTGAGAGAGAATACCGGTGGGGCAAGTGGGGGGGGGGGCGGAGGACTGCAGGGGGCTTCTCGGGAGAGGAGCCTGCATGTGTGGTGGAGAGGCAGACGGGGCCAGGCAGTAAAGGGCTTCACCAGCAAGGTGCATGGACATCCCATCTTCCCTGGGACAGTTTACACCTGCTGTGCCTGGTGCTAATATTAACAGTGCCCTTTTCATTCTCAAGAGTGTCCCCGTGGGTTACTATATATAGCCTAATGATACGGCATGTTAAGTTGTCTGGACTTGATCCTGAAAGTACTAGGGAGCCAGTGAAGAGTTCTGGGTTCTCTCTGAGAAAGAACGTTGTGGAGGATGGACTGGGGCCCGTGTGTGCATGCGCTAGTCTCAAGGCTCCTGCAGGGACTGAGCTAGAGATGGCGGCCTTGTCAGGGAAGGACGGTCATGGATGGTCTGATTGGAAGGTAGCTTCTGGAGGGCTTGGTGTTTGATGTGGAGGGTGAGAGACTGGAAGAGTCAGGGTGGCGCCCGGATTTCAGGACTGGGCAGCTGCATGGACGGACACAGAACGGTGGAGGAGGCCTGGAGGGAGACAAAGGAAGGGCTCGGCTCTCACTCCTCCCTCTCAAGCTATGTATGTGAGACGAGAGAGACCAGGAGGCAAGAGGGTGTCAGAGCTGTGGGCACGCGTTGCTGTTCGGGACTTCATTAAGGCTGAGTACTGGATAAAGTTGGCTGACCACAGAATACATGAGGACAAGATCATTTTAGAATCACTTGAGAACAACAAAAGCAACACTGAGTTATGAAAAGTATTAAACATAGCACCTACATTTTGAAGTAGAGACGCATTTCTAAACATAAGAGGGACTCAAGACTTATAGGAGACCTTGGAGAATCTCTTCCTGCTTGTGATGAAATGAGGAAGATCTGGTATTATTGAATGCAAACCTGTCACTCTGCGAATTGGGTGACCAAGAGTCACAGACACCAAGTGACATACCTAGGATTACAGTGCTGGTGAGTGAAATTGCTGGGGATGGAGACAGGGTTTCTGAATTCCTGGAAGATACTCCCTGTCAGTGGTCAGCTTGTGGCCCGATCCTCTGGTACATTTCGAGACATGAAGGGCAGAGCCGCCAGGCCGAACCGCGCGGGTTGTCGCCCCTTTGGGTCAACGTGGCCTTGGCCACTCGGTACGGCCACTACCAGAGGCGCCAGGAGCTGCAGCGGCTTCCAGATTGCTCCAGGGACCAGGACCCAGACCCCGGTGGCGCCTCCAGCTCTAAGTCTGACTCTACAGCGACGAGCACGTGGAATTTGACCCCCAAAGGGAGCGTGATTTCTGCAGGACCCTCTTCTCGTTGAAGAAGAAGGATCCCCGCATTTATCATAAAGATGCCACCTTCTATCAGAGAACAGCACTGTCCTCGGAGAGCGAGGAAGCGCCGGCAGCCAAAGGGAAGCAGAAGAGGATGGGGCCTATGTCCCTGAAGGGCTATGGAAGGAAGGTTACCTTGGAGAAAGAAGGCAAACTCAGACGTGGAGACCTCCAATCAGAGATTCCAGCAGATCTCGTCGAAAAGGTATGTAGAAGCAGAGAAACATCTCAAGGAAAGCTTCTGGGCATTGGTGGAGGGTGGAGGGCAGCGAGGGCAAGGACATTGCCGGGCAGGTGGCTTTGGGGTTTCTGCAGAAATACACTAACACCAGGGGGAGAAGCCCCAGGGGGATGCTGACTCGCTGGAGTGGCTGAGGGGCAGAAGGACATTCATAGCCCTGACACCCCGAGAGAACTGGCCCACCTGGAGGAGTACTGGAACAACCCAGAGCTGGAGGAGGTGAGTGGCACTCCCTGAAGAGAACCTGCTTGTACAGGTCAGAGCCGGAGCCGCTGCAGGACCAGGGGCTATAGAGCCGGAAGGCCCAGAACTCTTGGAAAAAGAGGCAGATCTTCAAGTCACTTTGGCCAGAGGAGATGGATCACGGAAGCACAGAGA